GACAAGACACAAAATAGTGATTATATCTAACATAGCATATTATAATTCACAGTAAACAAGCTTTTATAATAACATAATAATAATAGTATAACATAAATCATACACTTTTAAAAATAAGACTTGTGTCTTTCCTTCCTGGAACCGAAGTCTAATCCAATAAGGGGTACTAAAGTTTATTACAAGTGGCAGGAGAAAGGAAAGTTAGATTTGATGGCTAATAACATCACTTTTTTGGGGGGGGGGATTTCAAGATAATCCTATTCCACTGCTGGAATGGCCTGGGAATAGCCCAGACCTTCACCCAATTGAAAATCTATGGAGCCGACTAAAGAAACTTGTTAGTCAGAAGTGACCCAGCAATAAAACCCAGTTAATAGAAGCCATCATTCAATCTTAGTTTCACATGATAACAGCTGCAGAACTCAAAGACTTGGTTCACTCCATGGGAAGACGTTGTAAGGCCGTCATTCATGCTAAAGGTCACCCAACGAAGTATTCACTGACATGGTGATCATTTTTGTATATCTCGTTTTTTCTATGGTGATAATTTTTTGTCTATCTCGTTTTTCTTATGTTTCACTTTTCTTCTTTATACTATAACTGCTACTCCAATAGCAAATCCTTCCTAAAAGTTATTGCATTACATTCTTGATTCAATTATCTTTCCATGGATATATAATTTTATGGTACTAGTCCCCCAAAAAAGTGGTATTATTAGCCAGTTTTAGAAAATACACTTTTCCCAAAAGGTTTCCACAATTTTGGCCGCTACTGTAGCTTCAATTGCTCTTAATTGTTCTTTGCCTGATCTTGTGCCGCCGCCAAGCAAAATCTGGCCACCTCTTGTGTTATTTCAGGGCCGATGTCAGAAAATAGAAATTGCTTATGCTGTTTGTGGTTGCATCCTGTTTTTCTAGTCAGGAGTGGGGTAATTAGAGCATTTCCAGGTTCTGTAGAAAACTGGCAATGCAGAAGAATACTTTGCACAGTTCCTACCTTGTCCTGAGCCTCAGGACAATGAGTCCCAAGCCTCATTGTAATGAGTTTGCCTTCCTTTTTTCGTTTTCTAGCCAGAAGTGCTGAAGGAAAGGTGTTTACAATCAGGCTACGTTAATGCACAGAAACTAACAAAAGGACTTAAATAATGAGCTTCATTATTTCTAGGAATGGTTGAGTTCCTCTCCGTGAGTAATTTTTTTTTTTTAAAAAAAGGATCCAGGTGGAATACAGAAGGAAGATGGTAAACATTTGTTACCAAAACATCTGTGGAGGTGTGTGTTTTTTTGTTTTTTGGGGCGACTGTCTCTCCTTTATATCAGGCACAGAGGGCACAAATGTGCTAAGAAAGATATGTCAAAACTTGGCAGCTTAATGAATTGTCCAAACAGAAAAAAGAACCACAATTTTTCCAGGTGAGGAATTTCACCACGTACGAATCTGATAAATAACACAACGGCAACATTTGTTCATACTTCTCCCTCCCTGTCTCTGTTGTGAGCATCGGATGTGTTACACGAATACATTCGGGTTTGTTTAAAGACAAGGGAATCTATACATTTTGTCATTTGTATTATTTGCTAAGGAAACAATTGTTTTCAATAAAGGCTCTGTCAGTCAAAAAAAGAGAGTTTGTTTGCCCTAGCTTGAAAATTACTAAGAAAAGAGTCAGAAACCACTATCTTTCAGACGGCTGTACCAGTGATGGGTTATACCAGTGATGGGTTCCTCCCGGTTCAGCCCGGTTTGGCCGAGCCGGTAGCAGTGACGATATGACGTCACCGAACCGGTTCTGCCCCCCGTCCCCCTGCTCCCCCCACCCACCCCCCGCACTATTCTTATCTTTTATTTGGCCCCATCCCCAATCTATTGCTGCCTCCTTAGTTTATTCAGTAAACTAAGGTTTGAACGGACTTTGTGTGTGCTACGTTCTTTGGGGTCCATAGCTGGGGCAGAACAGTAACATAGATGTTAAATGAAACTGCGCTCCCCGTTGACTTGGCTTGTCAGAAAGTCGCAAAAAGGGATCAGATGACCCCGGGATACCGCAACGGTCATAAATGTGAGTCGGTTGTCAAGCATCCTAATGTAAATCACGTAAACATGCAGATGCCGCAATGGTCATAAGTGTGAAAAATGGTCACTTTTTCCAGTGCCATTGTAACTCCGAATGGTCACTAAATGAACTTTGTAAGTTGAAGACTACCTGTATTATGGAAAAACGGTGCCAGTATCTCTTTGACTACAATTATAATGGTGTTTTCGAGATAAAAAAAAAAAACCCAAGATGGAAGCCAAAAATGATTTTGCGTTGATTTCCCCATTATGGCTAAAAACAAAGTTGGTGAAATATTTTAAAAAGATCCACCTACAGGCATATTTTATTATCAAATGTTAATCCGATCAGAGATAATTTTTGCCTCACAAATAATTAATCCAGGGAAATTCTGCATCCACCCTCTACAGTAGTACCTTGGAACTCAACTGCTTTAAAACTCATCGAATTTGGTACTCAATGCATATTGACACAAAAATTTTGCCCCGATACTCATCATTTGTTTAGTACTCAACCCACAAGCCAGAACTTCTCAGTGTTGGCTGCCTTGTGACTCACATATTCACTACATTATTCCTTATGAGAAAAATGTGTTTGTTACTCATCATTTTTGTTACTCATTGTACTTCCTGGGAGCAATTAACGATGAGTACCGAGGTTGTAGTTATATCAAGGGACTTATTTCAAAATAAATGGTGGGAATGGATGGCATTTGTACTATGGATGCAAGCTTATCCCCAAACCACCTAAACGGAGGAAAAAAATGTTTAGTGACAGTCCTGAAATTGTGCAATTGTTCAATACACATCAAGGTAACATCACGATTAAATCAAATCAGAAAGGCTGATGTAATATGTAAAATTGATAGATAAGGAAAAGTTATTTGGAGAAGATGTTAATTAAGCAGAAGAAACTGATGGGGAAGATTTTTGATATGACTAGTAAACCAGGGGTGAAATCCAGCAGGTTCTGGAGAACCGGTAGCGGAAATTTTAAGCAGTTTGGAGAACCGGTAGCGGAAATTTTGAGTAGTTTGGAGAACTGGTCAATACCATCTCTGGCTGGTCCCAGAGTGGAGTGGGAATGGAGATTTCGCACTATCCTTCCCCCAGGAGTGGGGAGGGAATGGGGATTTTGCAGTATCCTTCCCCTGGAGTGGGGTGGGAATGGAGATTTTGAAGAATCTGCCATGCCCACCAAGCCATGCCCACCAAGCCATGCCCACAGAACCGGTAGTAAAAAAAATGGTTTTCAGCACTGTAGTAAACCATAAATTATTTGCATCAGCTACCTATATAGAATTCCAAAACTTAGAGAAAATTCTCCGTTTAAAGCGTTATATATATATATATTAAAATCTTGGTGATTATTTTAATATAGTTAGAAAATGAAGAAGGTCCCCCAAAACAAAATGCATCTGTTATGTATCACATTTGGAAAATAGATAATTGTATGTAACCCTGTAAAATTTTATTAAGCCTCCTGACTTTAATTAGTAGCTTTTTTTGGCATATTAAACATCTTCCACAAAACCCAAATTTATTTCAAACAATATTTATGAGAAGAATCAAGATCTATGAATCCGGATACACGATTGGAAGCGATATGTTAGTCATGCATTTAAGGCCATGCAGTATATCTTTTTAATTTGGGATACCAAAGTTTATTTAACATGAAAAATAGAAGCGAGAAGTCTGAGAAAGATGAAAAACGTGTGAGTAAGCAAGCTATCGTTTAAATAACCAGATGGGTAAGGAAAGCAATTAAGCAGTGCAGTCTAAGCAATGGGCCAATATTATATTGCATGATAAAATATTAAAGAATAAATATCTGTTGTAACCGTTTCTTACAGAAAACCACAAAACAAAATGTAATTAAAACAATTAGTTCAATTAAAGGTGCCCAGGACATAAATCTCATCAATAATTAAACAGCTAAAAAACTTCAGACAAGCAAAGTCACCGGAGAAGCCAGATTCACTTAACAACCGTGTTGCTCATTTAAGAACTGCAGTGATTCACTTAACAACAGTGGCAAGAAAGATCGCAAGATGGGGCCAAACTCACTGAACAAATGTCTCACTTCGCATGATAAATTTTGGGCACAATTGTGGTCAGAAGTTGAGGACTACCTGCATGAATGCATTATGCTTACGTACCCTGGTGGGATTCAGCCGGTTTGCACCGGTTTGAGAGAACTGATTGTTAAATTACCCACCCATCTATCAAAGTGGATCCTGTGTGCTGCGCTGCACGGCAATGAAGAAACGGGCAACAGAGTGGCCAGCATGAGGGAAGGAGGAGGCAGATTTCCTTCCTCCTTTCCTCATGCCAGCTGCTCTGTTGCCCATTTCTCCATTGCAGCGCAGCGCCCAGGATCCACTTTGATAGTGGGTGGTGGTGGTGGTAATAATTTGACGGGCCAAACTAACCCCTACATTGGGCCCAGCTTTGATCATGCTACCAACTTAATTCCTCTGCCCTCTCACTTTTGCCCGCAGACTGACCAAAACCCCCTGCAAGCAGCTCCACCGGGGGGGGGGGAGAAATGCCTCCCTCCACTTCCCCGCAATTCTTCACCTTCCCGCGTGAGGTCTCGGGAGCATCAACTCTTTGTCTCTATGGTAACCCCCCCGTCCTCGTTCCTTAGTAACCTTGCCTCTTAAAGGAGCCACATCCAGAAGGCTGAAACAGCCGCGAGGCCAACATGCAGACAAGCACCCTTGGAAATAGCCTTTTGGCAAAGGATGAAAATTGAAAAACCAGTTTGCCCAGGGTCAGGTTGGCGGTTGTGGGAGACTCGTCCCACATGTGTGACAGGCTCGTCCCGCATGTGCGGCAGAGCTGGAGGACAGGTGTCAACTCGTAAAGCATTGCCATAGGCAAGAGGGGGGAGGAACTGATTGAGCAGCTCGGCTGCCATGACCAGAAGCACATTCCATGCATACCTTTTTCCAGATTATATCCCAGATTACCAGAGCCAGCAGGAGAGGTGTGTTTTCTACAGCCCGCGAAAGTGCTCCATTGGAGAATGTGATTTATGACACACCCTGGGAGGAGAGGGAAAACAGGGTCATAGTTGGACCGTAAATTATATGGGGCAGAGCTGACTTCACTTGGGTACATGCCATGTTGCTCCTAATAAATAACTGGATTTCTTTTGAAATCTGGCTCAAGGCTCATGAATTAATTAGGGCATCCATCGGAACCCTGACAACGGGGACGGGTCATGCCTCCCACGACAGCCAACCTGACCCTGAGCAAACCAGTTGTTATATTATTTGAAACTCACCACTGTCCATACCTCTTTATTAATTTCTAAGTGAACTGGCCTGTTTCTGTCATAAAATTTTATGAACATGAGATTGTCGGACGGTTAAAGAACAGAGGTGGGTGCGAAGGCAAATATACGTGTCCGAGGATAATGATGCGAGATCGAATTTGGGTCATCTGATGTGGGCATGTTTGAATTTTCTTAGCGACCTTGATACTCAGAAAAGGACCAGGTGGAGTAACATAAAAGTTTGACAATTAAAGATAAATTAGGATGGCTATTCTCTCCCCATATTGGATATCTCATTTATTCAACACAAAACAAAAAAATATATTATTAGATAGGGAGCCTTACCACTGCTCAGGACTTCCGAGGGCTGGAAGAGGGCTGTTATCCTGCGTTTTCCACCTGGAAAAATACAGATAAAACTGGAAAAATATTGGAAGGACTGTTGTCCATAAGATCATGTTTAGGGAGTTTTATGATACGGGCTCAAGCATAATCCCAACTCAAAGCTCCATGAAATAAGCACAAACATCTTAGCTTTCTTGTAATGCATAGTGCTCCATACATGGATAAGTTCTGCCATAACCAAAGTTAAACTTAGTGGTGGGATCCTTCCGGTTTAACAACCGTTCGGTGATTGCAAGCCGGCACCAGACGCACGCTGCGCGCACGTGCACAGTTCAACAAAGTATCACCTTCCGTGTTAGTGCTAGGGAATTAAAACAGCTGAGACGTGGCAATCCGTTATGCCACGCTAATCAGCTGCGAAGATAAAAGTAAGTAAAACGCAGTGGCGGGCGGGCAGGCCCAGAGGATCGTCAGAGAGAACCGGTTCGCTACCAGCTGATCATCAGAACTACCGGTTCACTTCCAGTCGGAGCTACTGGTTCGCCAGAACTGGTCCAAACCGGTAGAATCCCACCCCTGGTTAAACTCCACCCATCATAAAGGAAGAAATTTGCAACTGGAAGAGAAAAATAATTGCTAGAACTGGAAGAAAAAGTGTAGCATTCAGGCCCCACTATACAAATTTACAAAAACGACGACTTGATGTTGCAACTGCAGGTAGTCCTCGGGTTACGACCACAATTGAGCCCAAAATTTATGTTGCTAAGCGAGACATTTCTTAAGGGAGCTTTGACCCATTTTACGACCTCCCTTGTCGCTGTTGTTAAGTGATTCGCTGCTGTTGTTAAGTTAGCCACACTGTTGTTAAGTGAATCAAGGTTTCATCCTTGATTTTGTTTGCCAGAAGGTCACAAAAGGAGATCACGTGACCCTGTGGCCATCATAAATATGAGTCGGTTGCCAAGGATCTGAATTTTCATCACATGACCACAGGGAGGCTGCAACAGTGGTAAAGGTGAAAAACGGTCATAAGTCATTTTTTCCAGTGATGTTATAACTTTGAACGGTCACTAAATGAACTGTTGTAAGTCGAGGACTACCTATCTATGCAACAATTTACAACAATTCGCTTAGGGGCCATTCAAAGTTACAACATCACTGAAATAAAGTGACTTATGACCATTTTTCATACTTATGACCATGATCACGTGATTTACCTCCAGATGCTTGACAACTGACTCAGATTAATGATGGTTGCATTGTACCGGGGTCATGTGATCCACTTTTGTGATCTTCTGACAAGCAAAGTCAATGGGAAAGCCAGATTCACTTAACAACGGAGTGACTAATTTAGCAAGGACAGCGATTCACTTAACAATTTGTGGCCAGACAAGTCGTAAAACATTCACTTTACAACATTCACTTTACAAATGTCTTGCTTAGCAGCAGAAATGTTGGGCTCAATTGTGGTCGTAAATCAAGGACTACCTATATTCAAGAACCTTATGAAGATCTAAGAGTAATTAAGAACAAACACAGAGACTTCAAAAACCTGAAGTAGCCAAGTGCAACGGATTAAATAAGAGTTATCAACTTGTTGCGATTAAAGGAGTAACGCAATCCAATCCAATCCAATCCAATCCAATCCAATCGCAAAAAGTAATCAAATCGCAAAAAGTAATCGGTTCTTTTTAATTCCCATTATTTTGGCAGCCGAGATTCTAGCACTGTGATGGCGAACCTGTGGCACACGGAGCCATATCGGTGGGCACGCGAGCATTGCCCTAGCTCAGCTCCAGCGTGCATGTGCGCACCAGCCAGCTGATTTTTGGGCCTTCTGAGCCCACTGGAAGTTGGGAAACTCCGGAGGGCCTCTGGGGGTGGGGAGATCATTTTCACACTCCCAAGGCTCCTAGAAAGTCCCTGGAGCCTGGGGAGAGCAAAAAAACGGGCCTACTGGGCCCACTGTGCCATCATGTGCCAAAAGCGGGGGGAGTGCAGGGGGTCCCATGCGCATGCGTGGGAGGCAGGGCCCATTGAATTATGGGAGTGGGCACACATGCCCCCCGCCGCGCTCTCCTCACTTTTGGCACGTGACGGCAAAAAGGTTAGCCATCCCTTTTCTAGCATATTTATTGGTTCGATTTATATGCCGTCCTTCTCCGGAGACTCAGGGGGGCTTACAATGCATTAAGCAATAGGCTTCATACTTTTGTATATACCTGCTTAGTAGGGCTTTCGGCCCCCCTAAGCGGTGTTCTTTTTTTATACAAAGTCAGCTTATTGCCCCCACAATCCGGGTCCTCATTTTACCTACCTTAGAAAGGATGGAAGGCTGAGTCAACCTTGAGCCTGGTGAGATTCGAACTTGCAGTAATTGCAGGCAGCTGGTGCGTGTTAACATCACTTTCGTCTGCTGCGCCACCAAGGCTCATAATCTAACACTCTGCTAGAGATATACATAAAGCTGGACTCTGATTAACTTTGCCAAAGCATTACAGGATTTTCTTTCAAGGACTCATAATTGAAGGACATAAAATTATGGTTTTGGAGAAATGGTAATTACAGATGTTACATGGAATTTAGCCTGAGGGAAAACAAAGGTATTTCCCAAATTTTAACAAAATATCTGCGGCTTTTAATCTCTGGCTACAGATAGACGAGGGAGTTTTTACATGGAATGTCGGTATAAAAATTGTAGCCATAAACTCTCTCTCTCTTTTTTTTTTTTGGCCCGCTTTTCATGTCTGTTCAAGTACATTTTCAAGAGACTTCATTGTTTGCAAACCCATATATTCCTTGGATGATAATAATATCAACTGCTTGAAAAGTACAAACAAAATCTTTCTGCTTAATAGGTCTCAGGAAAGCCGAGTTTCAACGCAATGGACAAAATCTGTTCGTATTGTAAATATCTTCGTATCAATCCACTTTGCCATTTTACAAAGGAGTACGACACAAAACATTTCTAAAAAAACCTGATCCAAGATGGCGCCGCAGAAAGCTGCCTTCGTGAAATGCTCTCTAATGGTTTATAATTTTGTTGCTTGTATCATTTGTACCCTACGACTATCATTAAGTGTTGTACCTTATGATTCTTGATGAACGTATCTTTTCTTTTATGTACACTGAGAGCGTATGCACCAAAGACAAATTCCTTGTGTGTCCAATCACACTTGGCCAATAAAGAATTCTGTTCTATTCTATTCTATTCTATTCTATTCTATTCTATTCTATTCTATTCTATTCTATTCTATTCTATTCTATTCTAAAGCACACACACATAAACTATGACTATATTATAGATGTATAAAAGGTATAAAACAGCATACGCTCACATGTCTGAAAATCCTGTTCAGATTTAATTGTCGTACTGCTCCAAAGCCCGCCGTTAAATTTCTGACTTTCCTCATCTCAGCTTCAGTAACGAGAGGGGATTGAATCACGGTAGATATCAAACTTCATTCGTAACAACCCAAAATTACAACTGTGCGTAATTCATGTTGTGGGGCCAACCAAACATCACAAAAGAGACTTTTTTTACCCTGTTTTCCCCAAAACAAGACATCTCCTCATAATAAGCCCAATAAGGCTTTTGAGTGCATGGCAATAAGGCCAAGAGCTTATTTCAGGGTTCAGAAAAAAAAATATATAAGACAGGGTCTTTTTTTCGGGGAAACAAGGTAAATGTTTGAATTTTGTAAGACTGTTTACCATGTTAGGTGGCTCAAAAGCAAGACACAGGGAAAAACAAAACAATACAGAAAAATGCCTTTTGCTTGAGTAGGGGGTGGACTAGAAGACCTCCAAGATCCCTTCCAGCTCTATGCTGATTGTTTGAAGAGCTCAATGAGGCCAAATATTATAACCACGAATCACTTAAAATGGGGCCTGTAGCCTGAATTGATGTTCTGTCCCCGTCTCACACACGCACACAAACAGACAGCCGGGGGTTAAATAAACTGGCAGACAACCAATTCTTCCGATAAGACGCTTGGCAGCAACCCAGTAGCTGCTTGCCAAGAACTTTTACTCAATAAACAAAATACCCACAGTCAAGAATTGTCCAGTTCGTAAAATAAATCCAAGGCTGCTAATGTTGTTTCCAAAGATGCAGTGTGACTCGATAGTAGTTAGTTTTGTCAGTCACAGAGTCTGAATGGCCACCTCACCCCCTTTTATACCCTGTGGGGTGTGGTCCAGTGACTCAGCCTAATCTCGGGCACTCCTTTTCTTCTGTTGCGCCCTTATCTCTGCGATGCTGCCGAGGATCCAGCCAAGACTCATTACCCTCATCACAGTCCACCTGTGGCTGCGTGGACGTACTTGGCCCCGGCCCTATCTCTTGCCCTTCGGCGGACACCGAAGGCATTGCCAGAGAGGAGGGTCCTGGAGAGGGAGGCCTTGCCAACTCCTCTCCTTCACTCTTGGAGTCCTCTCCTGCCGATGACACAGGCTCAGGTAACGGAGCCACAACAATTATTTATAAAAATCCGTTTTCCTCTTGTCTTCTGACTCACTTTTATTCTGAAATGTATGCCCAAAATACAGTAGTGGCCAAAATTGTATTTTCTAAAACTAGCTCATAACACCACTTTTTTTTTTTGAGTAGTTCCATAAAATTATATATCAATGGAAAGATAATTGAATCAAGAATGTAATGCAATAACTTTTATGAAGGATTTGCTATTAGAATAGCAATTACAGTAGAAAGAAGAAAACACGTAGAAAAGACGAGAGATACAAAAATGATCGCCGTAGAAAAAACAAGATATACAAAAATTATCACGTCAGTTAATACTAATAATCCTATTCCACTGCTGGAATGGCCTGGGAATAGCCCAGACCTTCACCCAATTGAAAATCTATGGAGCCGACTAAAGAAACTTGTTAGTCAGAAGCGACCCAGCAATAAAACCCAGTTAATAGAAGCCATCATTCCATCTTGGTTTCACATTAGAACAGCTGCAGAACTAAAAGACTTGGTTCACTCCATGGGAAGACGTTGTGAGGCCGTCATTCATGCTAAAGGTTACCCAACTAAGCATTAACTG